TGCATGCATTGCATTGCATACATTGCATTGCCACCCCTCAGCAGCATGCGGCCGATTTTGGCCCCGTGAGCGCGTCCACATGGCTGCTTCACCCAGTTCTTCCAGCACAAACATCTTTTCCTGCTGGGCATTGGGGAGGAGGGAGTGGGACGATGCTGGGGGAGGCAGGAGCTGCACCTCTGGAGCCGCAAGCTGGAATTGAATGATTTTAATTTGTCCCAAGAAAACACATCCCCCCGGATGCCTTTTAGAAACCCGGTGCTTCAATGGCTCCCTGCGCTGGCTCCCCCCCAGTTTCCTGTTTACGTCATTGCTATTTCACTGCTGCAGTTTTTACAACTGTTGAGCTTTCAAGTGTAATCTGAGCTGAGACCGGCAGCTGCCCATGAACCTCCCGCGTCTCCCCCTGCTCCTCTCCACTGCGCTCGCGAATCCGAGGGGTCCGGCTCCGTGCACAGAGCTGCGGGCGGCCCCGCGAGCGCCTCGGACCATGACTTCTCGCCTGAAATAAGCCGTGGGATTCGCAGGAAGCTCCTCCGCGGCTGCATTCTGCAGACTTGCTTCTGCTCCCTCCTCCTGCCTCCCTTGGCGGCGAGGCGTGCCGTTTCTGTTCTTCATTTCTGGGAAGCCATGGACAAGAAGCAAGGTATATGTTGCAATTTGCAAAACACGTGGCGGGGGCGAGTGAATGGCTGGTTCTGATGCTAAAAGGGACCGTGTTTCTTTGTCGGATCGATGCATGCCGTTTTCATGCTCTTTTCTGGTAGGCTTGCTTGGAAAGGGGGATCTGTGTTTGCAGCCAGGCATCTATTTTTAAAGTTCTGGAGACTTGCATATTTTGTGCGTTGCTGAAAACCAGGCATCTTAATTGTAGAAGCCTCTCATAGCTAAAGGAAAATATTTTAAGGGTGAAGTTAGCTCGTGCCTCCGCTTTTGTCTGCATTCCTTGTTTGCAAGGTTTTGCAGGAGCTGTTGCATGGTTTCTCTCTGCAAAAAAGCCTGTTGCGTTGGAAATGCAAGTGCTTGCCGTGGACTTGGCAGTCAGGAGCTCTGATTCAGCAGAGCTGACAGGTTGTTTTCAGCTCACTCTGCTGCAGGCAACTGACTGCAAGGGTTTTTTTCTGAAGCACCTTTTCTTCCTCTGAGTTCACTCTTTTGCAGAAGTTGCAAGCCTGGATTATTCACAAGAGCCCTGCTCTGTAAGGGAAGCTCAATGGGCTGATGAGTGACGGCTTTGGGCAGGTTGAGAGCCTTTTTTCCACTTGCATGGGTAGTATTTTCCACTCTGAATGGTGGAAATACTGTGGCATGTCGGCAAGGAGCTGACTCTCATAACCAAAGCAACCAAAATCACCTCCCTGCTTCGTTGTACTCTGCCTCTATCAGAAAAGGCAAAGTTTGATTTTTATAGCCCTCAAGCCTCAATATGGACCCTCATTGCTGTTTTTATTTTTTTTTTCTTGGAATGCTTTTCTGTTTTAGCTCTTCCTTTGCAGCAGAGATGGGAAACACTGGATTCCTGGTATCCTCTGCCCCATCCGTGGCATTTGACTCTCCTTAGGCGGAGGAGAAGGTGGGAGGCATCTGAAACACTTTCCTGAGCACTAACCGGGCTCTCCAGCTCTGGAAGCAGCCTGCCACCAAGAGCTGATTTATCCTGTGGCCGTCACCAGGACTTCACCTGAGGCTGGCACTGAGGAGGCAGCAGAGAGGTTTAATTTCAAAGGTCGGCTCAGGCAAATAGTTTTATTTACAGTTCTTTAGATTGTCCTGTCGTTCCTCTCCGCCCACGCCGGCAGAGAGGAACGATAAACCTCCCGGGGAGAGGCGCAGCAGAACGGGATTTGGGCAAAGACGCCGTGTTCGACGTGGAATTAAGCAGTTCCAGGAAGTGTAAGCGCTTGCTCCTAGCTGGTGAAGGCTACAGCACGAGAGAAAAATTAACTGCTAAGGGTGGTTTTTTTCTATAGGAGGAAATGGTTCCTTTCTTAGCATAAAGGATGCAGCTACGTGCCTGTAGCATCACGTGGGTAAAACGCCCGTGCTGAGGACCTCGGTCCCCTTATTTTCCCTGCGCTGGTGCACGGTGGCCTGTGCTCCCGGCTGGCACTGCCAGCCTGGTGGCCAGCCCATTTGCATGGCTCCTTCCAGGGTGCCAGCACCAGCAAAGCTCAACCATCGCCCGGAAAAGCGTTTGGGTTTCAGACCTCGCTGCCAGCTGCCTCTGTGGCTCCGGGCGTGCTGGGACGTGTCCCACATCCCCCCGTTTGGTTACTTTTGCCATGCGTGAAGGGGATCTGTAGATGCCACCAAGCAGCGGGTTTGGAAGCACCCGCTCTGTTCTAGCTGTCACCTCTCTTGCAGGCGCCTGGGAGAGTCCCCAGGTTTTTCAGGTGACATAAACCATTCTTCTAGCAGCTCTGAGCATCCCGACCTTAGGGGGATCCCAGCTACGTGCGAGAGACGATAACGGGGCTTCACAGGTGATAAGGGACCAACAAGAGCCACCTTTGGGGCTAGAAATGACTGCTGCGCCAGGGACTGCCGGGGATGGAATTGCAAGATCTTCTCCTTTTTATCCCACTGCCTTTTTACTTTCCTGTCTTTTTTTTTTTTTTTTTTTTTAAAAAGTCCTCCCTTCATCTTCCATCGCCCGGGGCCTTCGCTGGGAGGCTGCAGAGGCTGCCTCAGCGCACGCTAATCTCGCGGGGCCGAAACC